AGAACATAGGCGGGCAAAAATAAATACTTCGCCCTTTCCCAGAATATCTAGGGAAACTAGAAAAAACTTTACCGGTATTTTCGTAACACGTCCGACACGGGCAAGTCACAGTTTGCACTCCTCTGTAATTCATGACCATGACCCTCCGTTATTCTGTCCTTAAATGTTTTCCAGTGCCCATGTGTTCGATATCCCTGTCCTCTTTGTCCCCTCTACCTCTCCGTTCTCCCTCCAAGCTTTTCACAGTATTCTTTTTCGGGTCACGTGCCGAGCTACTTCCCGAGAGTCTTCCTAATCACCGGTGTTTTTAGGCAGAAGACGTTCAATGCGCTATAGATAGGCTGACGGATTTCTGAGCTGAAGAGATGATAAATGTGTTCAATTCACCTATTGAGGCGTCAACTATCGACGAGTTTGCCGACAGAAAACGGACAGACGAGAAGGAGGTTTTCGAGACGGTAAGAGTGCTATTCCACCTCTATACTATGTTGCCATTATGATTAGCGCTCTATGGCACAGCAGTTGAGCCACTAATAGCAGTCCCTCCTGGAGTTTCCATACATGGTATTGGCACAGAACACTTTTACTTTCGATATCTATCGACTATCAGCCATCCTCAGCCGGTGCACACTCCTCACTCTATGAGGGACTTTGATGTTCTCCTGTGACCGAGTACGTACGGGTGTCGGCCAACAGCCCCACAACCCGAAAAACCGCGCGACGCGCAGTGCGAACGCCCAGAAGGGATCCCATCAGTCCAAATGGTATTCACCAACGTCTGGCTTCTTGCCAAGGAACTGCTGCATGAAAAGTTCCAAATATTTCTTTCCTTATCTTGCCTTTTTTGCCCTCAAAATTTGTCAGAAATACCTGGAATTTGCGGCCTACGACGTATCACAACCTGACTAGTCTGACGCTAAAGTGCTGCATCTGGCTCAATCTCAGAAGGCTGGCAAAAAACACTACCGCTACAAGGTCACAGGTGCACCACGGCCATTCTTCTTCGGATGCTTAGCCTCCGTTATGACCAAGTCCTCATATCATTCATATATTTTCACTGTTTTTGATGGTTCCACTCTCTTAGAAGCAAGAGGCGCGGGTTCGGTTTCCGTCTAAGGCTGAGAGTTGCTCATAACCCAGCATTCTCGTGATGCCCTACCCATGATGCCTACTCTTAGACTGTAGT